CTGGTGGTGTGTTCAGTCTAAGTGCAAAGGCCCTAGAACCAGGGGAGCCAATGGTGTAACTCCCAGTCCAAGGTCAAAGACTTGAGAACCAGGGGGCTGCTGGTGTCAGTTCCAGAGACTGAAGGCTTGAGAACCAGAGCCTCCAATGTCCAAAGGCAGGAGAAGATGAACATCCCAGCTAAGAAGAGAGAGGGAATTCACTCTTCCTCTGTCTTTTTGTTCTATTCTAGCCCTCAGTGGATTTGATGAAGCCCACCCACATTGGTGAGAGTGAATCTCTACTCAGTCTACTAAATCAAATACTAATCTTTTCCAGAAACTCCCACAGACATACCCAGAAGTAATGTTTTATGAGCTATGTGGGCATCCCTTAGCCTAGTCAAATTGACACACAAAAATAACGATCACATTGGTTTTAATAAAACCAATTGCCACCTGGCTTTAACAAAATCAATCTTTAAAAACATAAAATGGTCATATGGCTTAAGATATTCCTGCCAAAGTATCTGAATGTTGAAGATAGTCCTAATAAGACAAGCACAGGTAAACATATTAGCTAAAGTACCACAAAAAGCATTCTAATCAGTTGGTTTCCTCTCATTAAATGTTAATTAGTTCATATAAGGTTCCTGTGTAGGTAAGTATCAAGTACTTAGCAAGCATTAGGGAAGAGGCAAGTCACAAGTTGAGTCTGAGGGACAACAGACACTATTGGAGCAATGACATTGTTACCTTACTGGGTGACATTTTTCTTTGAGGCGTATGTGAGCTTCTTGAGGAGGATCCAGAAGGCCTGCCAGAAACAAACACAGATTAGAATTTTCATTCTGGTAATGAGTCTCTGAAACAACATTTGTTGAGTTTTAAAAAGCATACTTAATGGGGGCTTCCCTGGTGGTGCAGCGGTTAAGAGTCCGCCTGCCAATGCAGGGCACATGGGTTCGTGCCCCGGTCTGGGAAGATCCCACATGCCGCGGAGCGGCTGGGCCCATGAGCCATGGCCGCTGAGCCTGCGCGTCCGGAGCCGCGTCCGGAGCCTGCGCGTCCGGAGCCTGTGCTCCGCAACGCGAGAGGTCTCAACGGTGAGAGGCCCGCGTACCGCGAAAAAAACAAACAAACAAACAAAAAACATACTTAATGGGATTAGCTCCTGAACCAAATACTATGATTATATTACAGAACACTGGCTCACACCGTTTAAACCCACAGAACAGGATAATCATATCATATTAAATGGCCTTTTATTTAGATTGTTTTAGTATGCTGGCTTATAAGCCACTTTGGTAAAGTTATAAAAATAAGAGGAACAAAACTTAGGGGCTGTGTGGACCCCATCATTAAGTGATTTGGAAATGGGTCCCTGGGATCATACATGTTTGGGACTAGAAGGGACTGCAGCCAGTTCACACCAGCATGGCCACACCATGCTCATGGTGGCCCCTGTTCTGATTGGCCAGTGCCTGGCCCCAAGCAGTTGCAAAATATCACAAATATCACTCCTGAAAAAGTCTAAAGCACTCATTTCACAGATAAAGGCACAGTGACCCAGAGAGATAAAGTGACCTGCCCACACTACACATCTTATTAAGAGAAAAACAGAACTTGGACTCAAGCGTCATTCTACAGTGCTCCTTTGGCATCCCCACACCACCCTCTTCCCCTGAAATTTGTTGCCATTTTTCTTTATAAACTGGTGATGCAACAACCACCTTTTGATACAGAGTGACAAAGGCTGTTAAGTAGGTTAGGCAAATGCTCTGATAACAGGTAAAGGAGCTATAAATTGCTATCTTTCAAAAATAATGTCAAACATTTATTGAGCGCTTACTACATGACAGGCACAGATATACTTCACTTGTTTATTAACTTGTTTAATCATTTAAGCAATATTACCTTTAATCTTTACAATAGTCTTATTGAGTAGTTATGATTATTGATTCCATTTAACACGTGGAAGAACTGATGTATAGCAAGTCTGAGTAACTTGCTATGGAGGTGACTTCTAAGATGACCTCCAACTGATATTCACACTCTGTGTAATTTCCTCCCTTTGGCTCTGGGCTGGACCTAATGACTCACTTCAAATGGAACACAGAAAAAAAAGTGATGGGATGTCACTTCCATGGCTAGGTTATAAGAGCCTGGGACATCTGTCTTACTAGAGACTTTTATTCTGCTGGCTTTGATGGCTACTCTGTTGGAAATGCCCATGTGGCAAGGAACCTGACGGCAGCCTCCAGCCAACAGCCAGCAAGGAATTTAGGCTTTCAACCCAACAGTTCTCAAGGAACACAGTCTTGCCAAAAACCACATGAGTGAGCGTGGAAGTGGATCCCTCCCCAGTCGAGCTTCAAATGAGATCCCAGACCTTGGGCCAATGCCTTGATTGCAGTCTTTGAGAGACTATCAAGGGGAGGACACAACTAAGTTGTTCCTTGATTCCTGATCGACCAAAACTATGAGATAATATATGTTGCTTTAAGTCGATCATTTTAGCATAATTTGTTATGCCGCAAAAGATAACCAGCACAGTTACCCAAGACTACATAGCTACATAACTCCTGGTATAGCCAGGAGTTGAACCCAAGAAGTCTGGCTGTTAAATCTATGCTTTTTTCCACTAAATCTACTCTTTTAACCAGTGACACCACACTACCTCTCAGAAGGGACACCACATTCCTCACGAACATCATCATCACCATCATCACCATCATTATTACCATCACCATCAGCACCTCTGTCCCCATCAGCACTACTACTACATACCAGATATTAGCTAAGTGCTTTATATAAATTATTTTATGTAATCCTCAAAATGGCCCTGTGGGATATATCCAAAAATAAAAATAAAAACACCAATTCGAAAAATACATGCACCCCAACGTTCATAGCAGCATTATTTACAATTGTCAAGACATGGAAACAACCTAAGTTTCTATTGACAGTTGAATAGATAAAGAAGATATAGTATATATACACAATGGAATACTATTCAGCCATAAAAAATAATGAAATTTTGTCATTTGCAGCAACATGGATGAACTTGGAGGGCATTATGTTGAGTGGAATAAGTCAGACAGAGAAAGATAAATACTGTATGATATCACTCATATGTGGAATCAAAAAATACAACAAACTAGTGAATATAACATAAAAGAAGCAGACTCATAGATGTAGAGAACAAACTAGTGGTTACCGGGGGGGGGCAACATAGGGGTAGGGGGAGTGGAAGGTACAAACTGTTGGGTGTAAGATAGGCTCAAGGATGTATTGTACAACCCAGGGAATATAGCCAATATTTTGTAATAACTGTAAATGGAAAGTAACCTTTAAAAATTTGTATAAAATTTTTATTTAAAAAAATGATCCTGTGGTTCCAACTTTATAGTTTAAAAAAGAATGAATCTCAGATAATAAAAGCAACTCACCTAGGGTCACATAGAAAATTCAGAACTTGACCCAGCTGAGTCCAAAACCAATGCCTTTCCAACTAAATTTAGCTGCTTCTCTGTAAACCAAAGGGCTGTATCTAACTGGTTAATGATGCCCTGATACATAATTTTTACAACATTGGAAAAAATGTATAACAATTTTTTTAGTAAATCATTGATAACAAAATCTAATTGCTGCAGATTTTTCTAACTTTACCACAGTTAACAATTCCATGGAGACTTTTAGGCTGTGGGATGTAGGAGTGCCATGGAAAACTGGAAGCAAAAAGAATGCTTTACTACATTGTATATAGCACTTCTTGTTAGCAAATATAATGAATTGAAGTTAACATCAATTGTATGATACTAAGTTTCTTTCAAAAATAAAAGTCATAGGGCTTCCCTGGTGGCGCAGTGGTTGAGAGTCCGCCTGCCGATGCAGGGGACACGGGTTCGTGGCCCGGTCCGGGAAGATCCCACATGCCGCGGAGCGGCTGGGCCTGTGAGCCATGGCCGCTGAGCCTGCACGTCCGGAGCCTGTGCTTCACAATGGGAGAGGCCACAACAGTGAGAGGCCCGCGTACAGCAAAAAAAAATAATAATAAAATAAAATAAAAGTCATAAACCCTAAATCTAATATAATAACTTGCATTGCATATAAAATCTTGAATGATTCTTTACAGTACAGTGGATGAGAAAGCTCACACTCCTTGCCATAGCATTTTGGTCTATCTTAGCCCAGTTTTCAGCTTAATCCTCTACACAGATGTCACCTATGAAACTCAAGTCTGATCGTATCATATCAGGGCGTGAAATCAGACACCTAGATTTTTGCTTCCAGATTGAACACATTGCTTACCGAAGCACAAAAAGATTTTTGAGGGAGAACAGCAGGATGAGGGGAGGAAGGAGAGATGGGAGTACGAAAGGAAGGAAGGAAGGAAAGAGGGAAGGGAGAAGAGAGGATTTCACTCTTTTCACTCTAGCAATGAATCCTCAAATTCACTAAATATTCTAATTCTATCATAAGTGAGTCACAAAGTATCCTGACACTTCAGTTTATAACAAAGTTCCCCTGCAGACTAAACAGAGAGAAAGCAGAAACGTTGGGTACATGACATCAAGTATTCTACCATAAGCTTTTTATAACCTCTGCTTTCTTCTGCATCCAGTTCACATGGTCCTAAGACCCCTTCCAATTTTGCCCCCAAGGTTTTGAGTGTCTGAACCATACTTAAACAAAAAAGTACCATAGGTACTTTTTTAAAGCACCTAAGAACTCTGCTAAGTCTGATATGCTTCTGGTGGAAGCAATGGAGTAATTAACTGCAATGAATTATAATGATCCTAATCATGTTCTTTAGAATATTTGCAGGGTTAGCTAGGAAGAAATGGCATGCACAAGACCGCCTAAATAATGGAGGAACCAGTAAGCATCATTTTAAATAGTGCTTGAGTTCACGTTGTAGATGGGATATTGGCATGGTCCCATTCACTGTCACTTCATTAACCATCAGCTCAGGGATTGCTTCTATTTCTGTATTAAGTCTCTGACCTGCTTTTTGGTAGGCCGACATCACTGTAGTCTTGACAGAGTCCTTCAGACTTCAGCTGTCGGCCTTCGTCTTCCAAGCTCACACCCTCTTGTCCCTAATTGCATTAGCGTGAGGGAAAAGAAAAATGACCTCAATGGTATTTATTTGGCTCAGCAGGATGAAGACTTGGCTGGAAGAGGAAATGGTGAGGCTGCTGCTCTTAATTCCAAGGGGAAGCCTTGAAGGCTGCTATGAAGCCTGCTGCTGTCTTATTGCTTAGGTCTCAAGTCAGGCTGAAAAGCTTAAACGGCAACTTTTCAGCGTGTGACTGTACTTCTTTTCATTTTCCTTATAATTTGCCCACAACCGACTGTTTAAAACAATGTGCCTAGTGCTATGTAACGTTAGAGAATGCAAATACTATTGCCGACCACTTCTTGTTTCCATCTCCCCCTCAAACCCTCAAGGTTTATAAATCCCTAAATGTCTCTCTCCTCCCAAGCATCCCTTGTTCACTCCCTACAAAGTGCCTTTTATGCCTTTTAGACACAAACACTATTAGTGGCATCTTTTAAAACTTATTTGGATGGAAAGCTTTATAAAATAGATTATGACCTTCGACCCAGGGATGCCCCAGGGACTGTTAAGGTGTGTAGAACTGTCTGCCCCTTTACTAAATGGTCCCAGACGGCTGTACTTTTCCAGTTCTTATGTCTGTTTTCCATTATTTTCTGCCTCCTCTGTGCTACCAATTCATTGCGCCTACTTCATTTCCCACAAATTCTGACCCACCAAATATGTCTCCAAAAATCAATTTTTGTTTTTAGAAATCAGAAATAGCTAGGATCTTAGCCATCACCCTTTACTTTCTGACCCAGGAGTTTAAAGTTCACACAGTGAGGTTCTTTAATAAGTATTCCAAGGGACTGAAGAAACATGGTAGTTTAAGATACAAAAGATAGTCACTCTAGGATTAAAAACAAAAGAAAATATGTATAATGATGGTCACCATCTATGTTTGGCATTTTATTTCAAGAACTGACTTCTCTTTTATTCAGAGTTCTGAAAACAGCCAGATTCATGGGAGGTAGTTTTTCCTGTAGTCACATCTGCCCAACTTTATTGAATTTCCTTTTCTTAATGAATCATGAGGGTTGAGTTAAATGTTAAATATCGGTGTTTATATAAGGAACATGCATGTTTGCTTTTTCTTCAATTAAGGAAAAGCTGGTTGACCTTTGTGCCACTGAGTCTTGTGCTTGTTAACTGTGTGGCTTTCCCATCTAACAAGCCCTTCTTGTAAGACCAATCACACCATCTCATAGGCACAGTATGAGATGTGGCTCTCCACTAGGTGGCATCACAAAAGAACCTGTGCCCCAGAAACCGGAAGATGAAAAGTAGGAAATGTCTTATTGTGATGCTGGTGGGGGGGGTGTTGACTGCACAAATGTACACATTAGGAACCTGGGGATGATGAGAGGTTACTTCAAACACTTAACATTGGAAAGCAACTCAGTATAAGTTTAAGAAACCCAGCTGCACTTACAATCATCTGGAAGGTCTCTTTTTTCCACCGCTTTGACTCCTCTTCACCCATTTCTCCCACTCTCCACCCCCCACCTCTCTGGCAAACACCAATCTGTTTTCTGTATCTATAAGCTTGGGTTTGGTTTTGTTTCATGTTTTGATTCCACATATGAAAGAGATCACATGGTATTTGTCTTTCTCTGTCTGACTCATTTTACTTAGCATAATGCCTTCAATGTCCATCCATGTTGTCACAAATGGCAAGATTTCATTCTTTTTAATCACTGAATAATATTCCATTGTATATAAATACCACACTTTCTTTATCCATTTATCCCCTAATGGACACTTCGGTTGTTTCCATATCTTGGCTATTGTAAATAGTGCTGCAATGAACATGAAAGTAAATATATCTTTTCATGTTAGAGTTTTCATTTTCTTCTGATAAATACCCAGAAGTGGAATGGCTGGATACTATGGTAGTTCTATTTTTAATTTTTTGAGGAACCTCCATACTGTTTTTCACAGTTATTGCTCCAATTCACATTCCCACCAGCAGTGCACAAGGGTTTCCTTATCTCCACATCATTGGCAACACTTGTTATTTGTTGTCTTTTTGATTAGGCATTCTGACAGGTGTGAATTGATATCTCATTGTGCCTTTGATTTGCATTTTTCTGATGATTAATGATGTTGAGCATCTTTTCATGTGTCTGTAGGCCATTTGTATGTCTCCTTTGGAAAAATGTCTATTCAGATCTTCAGCCCATTTTTTTTTTTTTTTTTTTTTTTGTGGTACGCGGGCCTCTCACTGTTGTGGCCTCTCCCGTTGCGGAGCACAGGCTCCGGACGCACAGGCTCAGCGGCCATGGCTCACGGGCCCAGCCGCTCCGTGGCATGTGGGATCTTCCCGGACCGGGGCACGAACCCGTGTCCCCTGCATCGGCAGGCGGACTCTCAACCACTGCCCCACCAGGGAAGCCCCTGCCCATTTTTTAATCGGATTGTTTTTGTTTGTTTTGGCTTTTTTTTTTTTTTTGGTATTTAGTTGTATGAGTTCTTTGTATATTTTGGATATTAACCTCTTGTCAGATATATAATTTGCAAATATTTTCTCCCATTCATCCCAAAGACAAAGTAGATTGCCTTTTTATATTTTGTTGGTTTTCTTTGCTGTGCAGAAGCTTTTTAATTTTATGTTTTTAGCTTATTTTTACTTTTGCTGCTTTTACTTTTTGTGTCAGAGTCAAAAAGTCATCACAAAGACTTATGTCAAGGAGCTTACCACCTATGTTTTCTTCTAGGAATTTCATGGTTTCTAGTCTTATGTTCAAGTCTTTAATCCATTTTGAGTTAATATTTGTGTACGATATAAGATAGTGGTCTAGTTTCATTCTTTAGTATGTGATTATCCAGTTTCTAAGCACAATTTACTGGAGAAACTGTCCTTTCCCCATTGTATATTCTTGGCTCCTTTGTCGTAAATTTATTGACCATATGTATGAGTTTGTTTCTGGGCCCTCTATTTTGTTCCGTTGATCTATGTGTCTGTTTTTATGCCAATACTATACTGTTTTAATTATTATAGCTTTGTAATAGAGTTTGAAAGCAGATTGCATTATGCTTTCCAGCTTTGCTTTTCTTTCTCAAGATTGCTTTGGCTATCCAGAGTCTTTTGTGGTTCCAAACAAATTTTAGGAATATTTGTTCTATTTCTGTGAAAAACGTCATTGGAATTCTGATGAGGATTGAATTTAATTTGTAGATTGGTCTGGGTAGTATGGTCATTTTAACAATATTAATTCTTTAAATCCATGAACATGGAATATCTTTCCATTTATTCATGACTTCTAGAGTCTCTTTCCTTAAAGTGTCGAAGTTTTGAGTACGCAGGTCTTTCACCTTTTTGGTTACGCTTATTCCTCGGTACTTTTATTCTTTTTGATGCAAATGTAAATGGGATTGTTTTCTTAATTTATTTTTCTGATAGTTTATTAGTGTATAGAAATGCAACAGATTTTTGTATATTGATTTTGTATCCTGTAACATTACTGAATTTGTTTATTAGTCTAATAGTTTTTTGAGGGCGGTATTAGGGTTTTCTGTATATAATATCATGTTATCTGCAAATAGTGACAGTTTTACTTCTTCCTTTCCAATTTGGATGCCTTTTATTTCTTCTTTTTCCCTGATTGCTCTGGATAGGACTTCCAGTACTATGTTGAATAAAAGTGGTGAGAGTGAGCATTCTTGTCTTGTTTCTGATTTTAAAAGAAAAGCTGAGTTTTTTGCAATTGAATGTTAGCTGTGGGCTTGTCATACATGGCCCTTATTATGTTGAGGTACATTCCCTCTATACTCACTTTGTTGAGAGTTTTTAATCATAAATGGATGCTGAATTTTTCTGAATGCTTTTTGTGCATCTATTCATTGTATCATTTTTATCCTTCACTTTGTTAATGTGGTGTACCACATTGACTGATTTGCAGATATTGAACTAGCTTTGCATCCCTGGAATGAATGCCACTTGATCATGGTGTATGATGTTTTGAAGGTATTGTTGAATTCAGTTTGCTAGTATTTTGTTGAGGATTTTTTCATCTGTGTTCATCAAGGATATTGGCTTATAAAGGATATTGGCATCCTTGTCTGGTTTTGATATCAGGGTAATGCTGGCCTTGTAAAGTGAGTTTGAAAGAGTTCCCTCTTCTTTTTTTTTCTTTTTGAAGAGTTTAAGAATGAGTCAAATTAATTCTTCTTTGAATGTTTGGTAGAATTCACCAATGAAGCCTTCTTGTCCTGGACTTTTGTTTGTTGGGAGATTTACCCATTACTTATTCAATCTTCTTGCTAGTAATCAGTCTGTTCAGATTTTCTATTTCCTCAATTCAATGTTATTATGTTGTATGTTTATAGGAATTTATCCATTTCTTCTAGGATGTCCAATTTTTGGTCATGTAAAAGACTCTTGTGATCCTTTGTATTTCTGTGGTATCAGTTTTCATATCTCCTTGATTTTCATTCCTGATTTTATTTATTTGAGTTCCTTTTCTTTTCTTGGTGAGTCTAGATAAAAGTTTTTCAATTTTGTGTATCTTTTCAAAGAATCATCTACTACTTTCACTGGCCTTTTCTATTATCTTTTTTGACTTTATTTTACTTATTTCTGCCCTAATTTTAAGCTTTGTTTATTCCTCTTTTTCTTGCTCCTGGAGGTGTAAAGTTAGGTTATTTATTTGAGACTTTTCTTATTTCTTAAGGTATGCATTTATCACTATGAACTTCCCTCTTAGAACTCCTTTGGCTGCAGCCAATAAACTTTGGTATATTTCCATTTTCATTTGTCTCAAAGTATTTTTTGATTTCTCTTTTGATTTCTTCTTTGGCCCACTGGCTGTTCAGTAGCATGTTGTTTAATCTTCACAAGACTTAAAAGTCCTTCAGATCCACCCCACGCTCACCTCTTTAGCACTCTCTCTAACCTTTCCCTTTGTGTATTCGACACTGGTGCTACTCAAAGTGAGGTCCACAGGCTGGCAGCATCAGCATTACCTGGGAGCTTACTGGAAATGAAGAATCTCAGATCCCACCCAGACTTTTAGA